AATGGGGGAAGACAAGCTAACAGCAAAGCCATCATAATAGTGCCGCAGCACCAGGATGCCCAGTGCCCGCCATTGGGTGCCATCCCAGCAGGGAGGAGTTGTAAGGAGGGATTTGGACAAGGACATTGGTGGCTTTGTGGAGAGCACCTACTATGCAAGGGATTCGGTCTGGTCCTGATCCTGGCTGCTCTGGAGGGTTCTTTACTGATCACTAGGGCCCCCCACTCTTCTTGTGTTCTGGGAGTCTCTGAGGAACCATCTTCTGGAGCAGCAGGATTGCATTCAGGAGGTGGTTCCTCATCTTTCTGCTGCTTGCTGCCTCCTCCCTTGGTGAGGAGGAGGAAAATCTCTCTCCCTGGGAATGGGCATCATGCTAAGCAGCTTTCCAAATATATTTGTGTCTGTAACTGGATCCAGGGTGGTAACCATGTTAGTCTGTATCAGCAAAAACAACAAGGAGTTCTTGTAGCACATTAGAGACTAACAAATTTATTTGGGCATAAGCTTATGCCCAAATAAATTTGTTAGTCTCTAACGTGCCACAAGTACTCCTCATTGTTGTAACTGGATCCTGATCCTTCACAGCTAGAGGAACTAGTCTGGGAGATCACTTACCTGTTCCAGGTAACCTGAGAAGGCAAGTGGAAGCCAAAGGAATAAGAATCAGAATGGGTGCTGGGTGTGAGGAAAATGGTCCCAGGGAAGTGACTGGGAGGGAGAAGGTGAAGGAAGGCCCAGGCCGTTATTCTTTTAAGGGCCTGGGACCTTGAGCCTTGCAGGGTGGGTGAGGAAAAACTCCCTGTGCTGGTTCAGAGAGATGTTTGGGGCAATTAGACCCTCTCGGGAAGGGTCAAGGAGTGATCAGGTGGGTGACAAAAAACAGGCTGAGAGGCTTAGTCAGAGACTGCTTTGTGAAGAACTCAGCCAGGGCCCAGCTGCAACAAGAAGGGCTGTGAACTCCTGAACTTAAAGGGAGAGTTTGCAGGCCTTGCAAGGGATTGTGGAGCCCCAAACCTAAGGGGTGGGAATATCAATTGGGTTCTTTTGGGGGCTGGATGTTGTTTAATACAGCGGACACCAGGAGAGGGGGGACACTGTTTAATGACGGGGGGTGGAAGTAGGTTATTCCTGATACTTGGTGGGAAACTGAGGCCAGGGCTGGCGGTGGTGAGCCCTGCCGCAGGTGGGCATGTCTGGAGACCGCCCCGCTCTCCTGCAGGGTGACTGGTGGGGTTGGGCAGCGAACGCGCCCCTTTAGCCCAGGCCGCCTGGGGCCCTCGCCTGCCCTCTGGGGATGTGGAGGCTGGAGGCTCCCTGCCTCAGCTGCGGCCGGCGAAGGGGGCCGGGGCCTAGGGCGCTCCCCAGCGGCGGGGCCGGTGTCACGGCTCCCCGGGCCGGCCGAACTACGTTTCCCACAGGCCCTTGCGCCGAAAAGCCGCTTCCCCGGCGCGTCCCCGGGCCCCGCGCACCCTGCGCCCGGGCTGGCTGCGGAGCGGGCTCAGGTGAGTGCTGGGGCCGGGCCAGGGGGCGTGGAGCCGGCCAGCGCAGGCGGGGCCCGCGATCCATCGGCACGACACCGCCGGGGCCTGGGCCGGGCTTGGGGGCTGGGCGGCGCGGCGCGCTGCGGCACATCCCGTCTGGCTACGCTGTGGTGTTCGGAGCGGCCAGCCCGGCCCAGTGGATGGGGCTCGGCCCGGGGGGTCAGCAGCGCTGGGGAGCTCTGCCACTGACCAGCTGGGTGACATCAGGCCAGTCACTTTGCTCTTCTGTGCCTCAGTTTCCCCACCTGCCCCACGGCTCACGCGAAGCCTGCTGGTTAAAGTGCTCCAAAGGGACGGGTGGTCAGCACTGGTCTAAGGCAGCCCCCACCTTGCTGCGTAAGGGTGGGAGTTTGCCCGGTTCTGCTCCCATTGAAATCAAACTCCCACTGACTTGAGAAGCCTTGTGTCACTTCACAAGTGTAAAGATGGTGGCCACTTTTCCCATAGTCCATTTCCAGCTTGTTATATTTTGCCTATGTAAATTTATCCTCCTCCTCCCCCCCACCCCGCACTTTCAATTGGATATGTGAATTTTGCCTTTCTGTCCCAGTGTTGCTGTGAACAGTAGTTGCTGTGTTTCACCTCAGAGGTAGCTACACTGCTGTATAATGGGGTCTCTAAAAATATGGACCAGATATATCAACCCCGCATCTGGTGGTGGCCTTGCCTGCTCTAGGGAGAAAGGGAACCAGTCTGTCCTTCAGAGCTATGTTAGCCTGCTGCAAGGACTACACACACCACTTACAAACCCCTGGAGCTTTCTCTCACAAGAAACATGCCCAAAGCCCTTTCCCTGGATAGGTAAATAAACTGTAGGCCTAAGAAGAACGATTCATGGATTCTAAGGCCAACAGGATCCATTCTGACCCAATCTAGGAATATCAGCCAAATCACCCAGTCTGTTAAAGTTGTGGGCCAGCAGTGAAAGTGTCACTTCAAAAGGTAAACTTTGCAGCTGGTGCAGAACATTCCCTTTTAAGTAGGGCACTTACTATTGCCTGTACATGTAATATGTGTTTTTTTATGTAAATGCCTCCTATGCAACCTCCTGTTCTCTGCTCAATAATGTGCCTCGGCCCTCTCCAAGTCAGCCCAGTGTATCCAGCCACTCACAGTACTGCAACTTTCTGATGAAGTGGGTTCTAGCCCATGAAAGCTTATGCCCAAATAAATGTGTTAGTCTTTAAGGTGCCACAAGGACTCCTCATTGTTTTTTCTAAGTAGAATTACTTGGAAAAAAAAATTCTCTTTAAAGCAATAGAAAACCAGGCTACTCAGGTCCAAAGCCATGCATGCTTACTGCCTAAAACGCAGAAGGGCATGTTGTACCCATTAATAACTGCTGTTTAAAATCCTCCTGAGATGATATTGGAATAAAAAGAGTATCATCATCATGAGATCACATCATTGTTTTTTTTCCACAAATACAGAACTGAAATATTTATTAAACCCTTCTGGCTTTTCTGCATTATTATTGATACTTCTACCATTTACATCTACTAATGGACCAATACCATTGTTCTTTTTGTTCCTGATATACTTTAAAAATTCCTTCTTATTGTCCTTAACTCTGCTGGCCATAGATTTCTCCTTGTGTCTCTTTGCTTCCCTTAGCAGTTTCCTACACTTCCTAGCTTCTGATTTATATTCAATACTATCCATTTCCCCCTTCTTCCATTTGTTGGCTTTTTGTGCATCCAGTAAAGTGTCTTAAACAATTCCCAGTTGTTTTTCACGTTTTTCTGATTAAATTCTTCCTCCCAGCTGATTTCTCATTTGTTTGCAGATTTGTGAAACTCATCCTTTTAAAGCATTAAGTATATATATTGCTGTTTTGAACTTTTTGCACATTTAAAATGTGATCAGGTCGTGATCACTTGCATCTAAGCTACCATTAACTTTTAGTTCCAGATGAGAGGCTCTGAGTCATCTTGGGGGAAAGTAAAGGCAGCCCAAGGCAGAAGGTGTTCTTCTGAGACAGAGCTGGCTGGCAGCTGGAACTATGTTTTTGGGGCAGTGTGTATGCATTAATAACAGTGGGGAATGTGACTGCCAACTCAAGCTGCTGAGATCCTGAGCTGACCTGCTTTTAAATCTGCCTTCCAGGAAATCTGCAGCTCATTCCTCTTGTCCTTTGAGCCTGGTCTCCCTTCCTCTCACCCACAGCACTGAGAATACCTCCCTTTTCTGAGGTTTTGCTTCACCAAGGGCAGCCCAGACTTTACAGGCTTCTGTCCCTATAAGAGATGGGGCACTGTCTCCCCATGTCCTGCGCCACACCTCTCCCACTGACCCCTCCCCAACTCCACACTCATTGGCAATAAAGGTGCTACTGTCCTTTCAGGGGGCTGCCCTCTCTCCATAGCCTGCTGCAGCCCAGTCCCAGCCCAGCAGGCCCATCTCCCAGGCAGCCTCTTCTCTGGGCCTTGGTCCCAGCAGCCATTTCTCCCCCCGGGTTCCTTCCTACCCTCATCCTTCCTCCCCCATACTGCCTATGCTCCTGCTAGGATATCTCACCACCAGTGCTGCCAACCTGAAGAGAGAAAAAATCCTGAGATGTTCTGGATGACTGTGTTGTGTTGTAGGGTTGGACTGCCCTGCCCACCCCTGAGGGCAGGGGACAATCAGTGCTGCCATGCTCCTAGCTGGATTGGTTGAGGGGATTTTGGCCCCTGCTGCAGGAGCTCTTGCTCCACATCTGCCCTTCCCTGCCCAGCAATTAATTCTGCCCCAATCTCTGCTCCCTCTGGGCTCTTCAACCCCTCTCCCAGGCCTGGGGGGGTGGGGGGGGCTGCAGAGGGGTCCCCTCTACACTTTCCAGACTGGGGAGTGGATCCAGGGGTTCAGCCCCACCCCCCACCTCAGGCTGGGGAAGGGGGAGGACATCCCAGTGGCTTTGGTTTGCTGAGGGGAGGGGGAGAGGGAGAGATCGACTGCCCGCCCCTTTGGGCAGAATAACCAATCAGAAGGCTCAAAATGACCTGAGACCGTGGCACTAGCTGGCCCTGCTGTGCTAGGCCTCACCCAGCCAAGGCCAGGCAGTGATTCGCTCCCCTGTGCCTGCGGGATCCTAGAGATGTCTGATTGCTCCCTCCAAGAGCCCCCCGGCAGTAGCCCCCGGTCCCCATAGCTGGGTGCCTGGCGTCCATGCCATCTCTCCAGGGTCGCCCCAGGAGAAGAAACCTGGGTAGTGAGTTTGTAGGTGTTAAATGCAGGGCTCAGCTGCCTGGAGCAGGGAAAGAAGCTGGTTGCAGTGAGGCCTAGGCCCTGGGGGGCTCTGGCACTGTCTTCCTGGCCTTTTGGCTGCATTTTTGGGACTCAGCCTGGCCTCAGTACTCCAATTTCAAGTGTGTTTTCAAGCTGCTGGCTCTGCTCCTCCTTCTCCTTCCCTGGCCCAGGCACCTGGGGCCAGGGGCAGCACTGGGGGAAGATGTTGCATGGGGCTATCTGTTGTTTCAGGTGCTGCTGGTTTCGCTGAGATGCCTGTCGTTCTTGGAGGCTGAGTGGACTGTTTGGCCAAAGGGCAGAGGCCCTCTCCATCATTCAGGAGAATGACCGGACTCTGCCCTCTCAGGGTAGGGGACTGATTTTACTCAGACCTCTTCTCAGTGACATGCATGGGTCGACTCCAGCTCATACATCTTCCCTGGCTCCTTACGTTTTGTGGTGATATGTGCCCGTAAGAGCCCCTGGAGCCTGGGGGGGTCTGACGCTGTCCCATCAGTGACATTAAGCTTTGGGCTCACTCAAGGATGGTAAAGCACCAGGAAAGGGTGTGGGGGCTGTAGATGTGACCCCTGAACAGAAATCCCTTGTGCTCACCTTAGAGCTTCCTGGGGAAAGGCCAGGTGTGTATGTGTATCGGTGTTTTCATGCTCCCGTTAATTCCCTTCTCCCACCCCTCGGACTCCAGGTCCCCTGTCCTGGGGAGGGCCTGAGCTCTGGGCAAGGTTAGAAATGAGAAACCGACTAATAGTGGTGTTCTGCTGCGTGTGGGGTCCCTGTGGGACTTAGCACATCTCCCAGCAGGTGCCTTACTTTTCCTGACGTCTCCAAGCATTTTCCCCTCCATTCAGGCTGCATGTCTCCTCCAGCACAGGATTTGGAGTTTGTAACCTGCTGCCCATTTCCTTTCCCCTGAGCAGGATTTGTGATCTCCTGGATGGAACGAGAGGAAGAGCTGCAGGTCCTGGATCCCCAGGACTTGGAGAAAACAGATATCCCAAGGCTCACAGGTGAGGGCTAAAAGCTAAATCAACTCAGGAACCATCGGTGCATGAACCCAAAAGTGGGAAAGCCAAGAAGAGCTGAGCTGTCACTTTCCTGCCCCATCTCACCAGTCTCTTGTGCAAGGGCTGAAGCCTGCCATCAGAGTAAGGATCTGGCTGTGACACTTAGCCACCTTCCTGCAATGGGGCTTTTCTGCTTGGTTAGACATTGTGATCAGCCTGGAATTAGAGAATCACAGATGAAAGCCTCATTTAGTGGCAGGTCTGGTTCAGCAACCCAGTGTTCACCCATGAGAAACTTTACAGAAACAAGAGGTTAAGGGCAGAGACTGCTACATTCCTGGCCATCGTCCCGTCACATACGGTGCTCTCTGAACAGCCCCTCCCAAATGCTATACAAGGCTCTTCCCCTTCCACCTCCAGTAGATACCTCAGAGCAGCACTTCCCCCAGCTTCATCCAACTCTCGCTTTACCACACAGCTTTCACTCCAAGCCTGGTACTAAGAGACCTTCACACCATCCTGTGGGTAACTCTGTTGTGCCTGAACGCTGCCCAGGTTGTATGAGAGCGCGAGTTGGCTGGTGAAGGGGGACGTGCTGCTTTTCGGTGTCTGATAGAGGTGGACGGGAGCGCTGGACAGTGCTGCTGACAGTACTGTAGTGAGCCTGCGTCAAGGACAGGGAGCGCTGTCATTCATGTAGTCCCCGTAATGCCGGGAACAGGGAAGAGACATCAGTCTTCCTCTTTATTCCTCTCAGAGATGTCATGATTTTGGTTGGAAGCCAGCTCTGCCCTCTGCAGGGGTTGGGAGGAAAGGTCCTCCAACAGTGCGGAAAACCAGCTGTGTATTCTCCACCAAGTGAGCAGCACCATATTGGAAGCAAAAGGCTGGACGGCTTCTGTCAGGAGTCAGTCTTGTGAAGAAAGTGGGGGATGAGGAAGGGAACAGCCAGCTGGCCCCTTCCTCCTGAGCAGGATTTTCAGGGGGAGAGGTTTTCATGCTGCATCTTCTGGGTTGACCATCTTCTGGCAAGAACCTCCATACTCTGCAGTGCTGCCAGGAAGGGAGGAAGAAGGGGAAGTGTGGAAGGGGGGAAGAGAAGCCTAGGGGGTGAGGGAGATAGGGGAGGGGGTAAGAACAAAGTGGTTGAAGGGCAGGAACTCGGGTTGGGGAGGGTAGCAGGGGGAAGGGCAGGAGCCATGGCAGAAGGGGTGGGTATAGGAGCAGAGTTGGGGGACAGGGCAGGAGCTGGGGAGGGACAGAGACCATTTGAGGGGACTGAGGCATCGGGGATCTGTGAGCCCTATAGCATCCCCAGGAGCCCTGAGCCTCGTCCCATTCTCGGTTTTCACGGGACCCCTGCCTGTCAGAGCACAGGATGGACAGTCCTGTCCCTGCCTCTGATGCACAGTTCCTGTGTGATGGGCAATCAGATAAACCAGCATTTTCATAGGTGGCCACTGTGTGTTCCTCATTTTCTGGGTGCCCAATTGAGACACCTGGGGCTGGAGCTGCAGCAGTGCTGAGTACCCCCAGCTGCAGCTGATGTAAATGGGGGCTCTGCCATGAACACACAGTGCTGTAACTTGCTGAGTACTCTGAAAAGTCAGGCCCTCGACATCCCAAATCGGGCACCCACAGTGAGTTGACATTGACACCTTTGGTCTCCGTTCCCCAGGTGTAAAATGGAGATAATTCCTCCTACCTCAGAGCTAGTGCTGTACCACCATTCATGAATTAAGGCAGTCCTTGAAATCAATGGACGTTTGGCGCCTAACTACCCTTGAGGATTGGGCCTAAGCTGCTGCCATGAGAGCAACCTAGAGAAGCTTGTGAAGAAATGAATAATTCTATATTTGGGCAGGGTTTGGACGGGGTCGTATAGTACTGCATAGGGCCACACACTGGCTGATGAGGGAAAGAAGAAATACTGAAGTACCTGTTCTCTGAGCACCTTCTGTCCCGCACACTGAATGAGACAGGATCCTGTGGGAAAAATAGCATTGGGTCATGTAATTAAAGACTGTCTCCTAGTGCATACGCCCCAGGGGGCAGGGTAAGGCTGCCCAGCAACCTTCATTCTGCCATTTCCTAACTTCTGTGGGGTTGACTCGGCAACCTTAATGGTTTGTTAATGTAGTTTAGACATATTTATAAGCCCTTTCCAGGTGCCCTGTCCCGTTAATTAGAACACATTTTGCACAATACAGTAGGAAGAGCAGCTCATCATTCCAGGGCTGACTGGGGACAATAAATAAATCTCTCTCTCCCCAGAAGCCTGGAATGGAGACAGGCATTGCAGGCTCGCAAAGCCAGGCTCTGGTGGGTCCCAAAGAGAACAAGGTCCAGCACTGCTGGAGGCCATCCCAGAGGTTCCGTCAGCCCTTCCTCCTCATCCATATTGAGGGGCTCCACCTGCAGCGTCTGTGTGCGTGGCTCTCAGCTACGGCACTGTGGCTGCCTAGGGCTTTAGAGAGTAACACCACCCCTCAGATTCCAGCTGGAAGCCTGATGGAGCAGAACTCGAGAGATGGGCTAGTGCTTCTCAGGGGTGGAAGCTGCCAGGAGAGGCAAGGGGAGGGCCAGGAGAGACCATCCCGAGGTGTGCTGTAATATCTGGGGCATGTGTCTCAGCTGGATGGGAAGCGGGTGTGTAATTGGGCACAAGAAGGCAGCTTGCCTTGTGTGGTGTGGGCACTTCATGGCGCAGAGGAGCATGCACAGGAGGCAGGGATCTCAGGACTGAGCAAATGTTGGGGCAGACATTCCCAGCCTGGAATGAGCCTGTTCCAGAAGGAAGGTGAAAGGGGCTTGGTGTTGAATGTCTCTTCGACCCAGAGCTCTCCCCAAGTCCTGAGTGGGCCCTGGGAGGACTCTCATCCTTGCTCTGGGTGTTAAGACATGATGTTGGCCTGTGCGCTGTCTTGGGAGGCTGTACAAATCAGCTGCTGATGTTCAGTCTTCTACACTAGGAAGTTGCTGTGTGTTCACTTTAGGAGTGAAAACCCATTTAGTGAAACTGGTGCAAACTCCTGTGTGTGGACGCTCTGATTTTGCTTTGAGTGCCTTAAAACCTATGCCTAGTTGACTTAAGCTAGACTGAAATAAGCGCATTCACACAGCCTTTGGCACAGGTGTGACCAAATAGATTTTGGATCACATCTTAAGTTAGACAGGTGCCACTCTGTGTGTAGACAAGGCCTCAAACGGGCTGAACCCCCTTGCCTGTGTCTGCATGCTACCCCTCCCCCCCCAAGGTTGCCTTGGCACATGGGCTGAGTCATGGCCAGATTCTCTTTGTTCCAGCAGTAGATGGATTTTTGGGTGACAATGTGGTGGAGACGCCTGATCCTGAGAAAACTGATCTGCATGGGACACTGCTAGGGGGATCCAGCGGGGCCCTTCTCCAGAGTCCCAAGAGTGACTGCGAGGCAGGCTGGGAATGGCAAGGCCCTCCGAGCCAACACACCCCCGGTGAAGGAGCTACAGGGAATCACCATGATGCTGCTGCCCCACCAAGAGCCTTCACAGGGGATAAGCCCTATAAATGCAGCGAGTGTGGGAAGGGCTTCAGCCAGAGCTCTGACCTCATCCGGCACCTGCGCACCCACACCGGCGAGCGCCCCTACCAGTGCCCGGACTGCGGCCGGGGCTTCGGCGACAGCTCCACCCTGCTCAAGCACCGTCGCGTGCACACGGGCGAGCGCCCCTACAAGTGCACTGAGTGTGGCAAGGGCTTCATCCTCAGCTCCTACCTCATCCAGCACCAGCAGGTGCACAGCAGGGAGAAAGCCCACAGGTGTGCCAGCTGCGGGCGCTGCTTCGGCCAGAGCTCGGAGCTGGCTCAGCACCAGCGCGCCCACCTGGGCGAGCGCCCCTACCAGTGCAGCGAGTGCGGCAAGGGCTTCAGCCAGAGCTCGGACCTCATCCGGCACCAGCGCACCCACACGGGCGAGCGCCCCTACCAGTGCCCGGCCTGCGGCAAGGGCTTCGGCGACAGCTCCACGCTCATCAAGCACCAGCGCACCCACACGGGCGAGCGGCCCTACGTGTGCCCGGCCTGCGGCCGGGGCTTCGGCGAGAGCTCCACCCTCATCAAGCACCAGCGCACCCACACGGGCGAGCGGCCCTACGTGTGCAGCGAGTGCGGCAAGGCCTTCAGCCTCAGCTCCACGCTCTTCAAGCACCAGCGCACCCACACGGGCGAGCGGCCCTACCTGTGCAGCGAGTGCGGCAAGGCCTTCAGCCTCAGCTCCAACCTGCTGCAGCACCAGCGGGCCCACTCCGGGGAGCGCCCCTTCGCCTGCGCCCAGTGCGGCAAGCGCTTCGCGCAGAGCTCCAACCTGCTGCAGCACCAGCGGGCCCACTCCGGGGAGCGCCCCTTCGCCTGCGCCCAGTGCGGCCGCCACTTCAGCCTCAGCTCCAACCTCGCCCAGCACCAGCGGGCCCACTCCGGGGAGCGCCCCTTCGCCTGCGCCCAGTGCGGCAAGCGCTTCGGCCTGAGCTCCAACCTGCTGCAGCACCAGCGGACCCACACCGGGGAGCGCCCCTTCGCCTGCGCCCAGTGCGGCAAGCGCTTCGGCGACCGCTCCACCCTGAGCAAGCACCAGCGCACCCATGTGGGGCGGTGCCTCTATGCCAGTGCACAGGGCACCCAGGGTTTTGGGGACAGCGCCACGCTCCTGCAGCAGCCGCACACCCACCGGCATGAGCAGCCCCACCAGCGCGCCCAGTGCAGCAAGGCCTTCAGCCAGAGCTCTGGCCTGGCCCAGCACCAGCATGCCCACAAGGACTGGCCCCTCTGTGCCATCGCGCCCTGCCCCTAACCTCAGCCATCAGGTCCTGGGAAGTGCCAAGGGGCCCTGCCCCCAACCTTGGCCATCAGGCCCCAGGGAGGGAAACATCCACCCAAGGCCCTGCAGCCCTCTGGCAACACCATAGCAGCATGGGACAAAGGCAGACCTCAGGCAGCCAGCCTTGGGCTCAGTGTCCCAGTGACTGTCCCCATGGGCTGTGCCCCCATTGGCTGGCATGCACTGATCCCCTGCAGGCTACCAGCGGTGCACTCCCAGAAGCTGTGCAGGAGCAGAGGGAAGTTCAGGCTTCAGCCATGCAGAGCTACTAACTCCTGCAGAGCTGGCTGCAAGAGAGGCCCGACATGCAGCAGCACATCCTACTGCACATTGCAATTCACCCCGGGGCACTGCCCCAACCAGACACATCCCTCTAGGAAATTGGGTAAGAACCTGTTCAAACGCTGTGGGTCTCAAAGGTCGACTCACGCACAAACATCGGCATTGGCTTATGAGAGAATGGACAGAGATCATCTAGTGGAATGAAGCAGGCAGGGTGAGACTAATTCCCACTTCCCAGCAATAACGGGATAAAACTAAGAAAAAGAAAATCTAGGCCAAACACTGGGGGAAAACTTTTGCCAGTGAGATCCGTTAGGCTGTGGGTCATTTCCCCAGCTAGGGGGCTGGGGCCCCATCTCTTGAGTTATTTAAAACTGAACTGGATAAAAAGAGCTTTCTTTAGAAGTCACACACACAAAATTGTCTCTAAATGGAGGGAAGGAATTAGGCCAATCCCATGCGGCATGACTCAGGATGGCAGCTGCTGTCCAGCTCCAATGTGAAACCCTTGTAGGGTGTCAGAAAGGTCAGCAGAGTCGGGAGAGACTATCGTCCAGTGGCATTTTGGTAAGAATTGGAAAGGAAAGGACCTGCTCATTCATGTGCAGTCAGTGAGGTGACACAATTTGGGCCGGAGGTTTCTGACCTGGAAGTAAAAATTTGTTCTCTTTATTCTCATTCTTTTTCTGTGTCCTTCCCAGACAATGTGTGGTTCTGTGTGAGATGTTTCTGTGAGGTCTGCATTAGAGCTGTTTAATGTATATACAGTAAAGAGACTTGTTACATTTTAAAGCACAGAGCTGATTTTAATTTTTCCCCAGTACCTGGGAATCCTTTCTTTCTATCATCTCCATCATTTATATTCCCTGAGAGCCCCAAAGTATGCCAGATATATATGTCAGACCTAGAAGAAAACAGGCCCCTTCCCCAGCGAGTTCAGAAGACTCTCTTAATAGCTCTGACCCAACCCCCAGAGCAGACACCTGGCCTTTGGACCCTGCTGGGACACTGGCTCACCAGTATTTCTGGGAGTTGCTAGAGGAGGTGGTGGTGAGAGTAAGCAGGCCATTTGGAGGATCCCTGCTGCTCCAGCCAGTGAAAGTGTTATACCAATAAAATAAAAACCAGCAGGATCTTATTAAAGGGGAAAAGACAAAATACCACATTTACTTGTGAATACAGAAAGAATCATAGTAAGCAGTTAGTTATAGCTATAACATTCCATTCAATCTCATATTTATTCACACACACACATGTTATCATAGTTACCAGCCTTAGAGTTGCTCATGCCAAGCCACTGGCCAGGTGGCCTGGACATGAGGAGGGAGCAGGGCCTAGTCAGATGCACTCTGATGCTCCTGGAAGTTGGTTTGCAGAATCAGACCCCAAAGTTCTCACTTTCCAGAGTCCATTTTTATAGGAATTTCTTCCTATGTCAGTCTATGAGAATTGCTTCATCATGCTGTTGCTGAATCAATCAGCAGCTGGCACATTCCTGACGGCTCTGTGCTGCCAGATGTTATCTTGCTCTTTGGTTCTCCCATTCTTGAGGCTGTTGAGTGGACTCCAGTCTGCCCTCTGGGGGTCCTCTGATTATTTCCACTTGACGCCTTCTTCAGCCGATGGACGCTGGATTCTTAGGCTGGCACCTCCCTGATCATTCAGTTATTATCCACACCAAGCATCCATCCACATACATACCTCCATCTCTATTTTAATCACAATTGTTAACATCGCGAGATGAATACAACAAAAGGGCGGGGAGTCTCTGGGTGCTGTTTCTGTTGTTACAGAGTATTGGTTTGAGTCTCTCTCTGTGTGAGTAGTTACAAAGAATTGCTTTGAGAACAGACTCTGTCTTAGAATGTACTAACACAAATAGCAGCTTGCAAGTTTCACACATAGAGGGAGAGAAACAGTACCAAAAACCAAGAGACCTTTTAATTAGTAATACCCTGGAATTTAAACTATGGGGAATCAAACTCATTTGTGATTTTAATACAGAACTTCTTTAATATGATCCAACAAAAGTTTAACGCTCCCTGGGAGTGGCTGAGTAGCTGGATTAGGACAGACAATAGCAGCTGGGAGTGTGCACTAATGGAAACAGCACAGTTGGGTGAAAGGTGCCTGCATGCAGTGCAGGGGCAGGGAGCCGCCCCAGAGGCCAAGCACCAGGAGGGAGCTGTGCAATAGGACTGGTGTTGGGGAGTGGAAGCTGGTAGGTAAACCTACCCTCAGAACCCCCCAGATTCCTGAACATTACTAGAATGTAATCATTTCACGTCCTACAGATGGTAAAAAAATTGGTCCATTCTGTAAGTAATGGGATGGGATATTTAGTAGCGCCAGGTAATTCCATGTGATAAAATTGAATGATTTAGTCTATGGTAGAAATGTCTAAGTAAATCAGTTACTTAGAAAACACAACCCTAATACAACTGATGTGAATTACTGAATATCCTTAAAATAGACAAGTCACAAGTAACCTTAAATCATTTATTAAAGTGCAACCAATTAATAGTTCAGTTGACTAGGTACCATAAAATGAACTCCCCAAGCCAATATACGTCCCGGAGGTCTCATGCAGTCAGTAGTAAAACAGCATTAAAGTTTCTAAAACTTGTAGATGACTGTTTTCTGACACAAATGGGTTTGCAGCAACACATGGTAGGTCTATTTCCAGGTAATGGCATGGTAACCTCTCACACCAAGGATGACCCTCCAGGGGAAGGGACCACATTATTAGGAAGCGCCAGGTAATAGTAATATAGGTAGCTGGGTTTGTGAGGAGCAGAACCACATGGCAAATCGCCTGCTGGATGCAAAGACTGCAAACCTCTTGAGACATCTAGACAAACATATATGCAGTGCTGGGGAAGAGCTGGTGGTTGTATTACATGTAGGTACTAATGACATAGAAAAAGGCAGGAGAGAAGTCCTGGAGGCCAAATTTAGGCTGCTAGGTAAGAGACTAAAGTCCAGGACCTCAGTGGTAGAATTCTCTGAAATGCTACCAGTTCCATGTGCAGGGCTGGTTAGACAGGCAGAACCACAGGGTCTTAATGTGTAGATGAGATGATGGAGTTGGGAGGAAGGATTTAGGTTTATTAGGAACTGGGGAACCTTTTGGGAAAGGAGGAGCCTGTTCAGGAAGGATGGGCTCCACCTAAACCAAAGTGGAACCAGATTGGTGGCAAGTAAAATTAAAAAGATCATACAGGAGTTTTTAAACTAAGGGCTGGGGTGTGGACAGGGGCAGAGAAGCACACAATACAGACACACACATCCTTTGGGGGAGGATTATTAAAGGGGATAATCTATATCCCAGTAAAGAGGAGAGGATAGATGATTTAATTGGGGATTGGTCCTGCTTTGAGCAGGGGTTTGGACTAGATGACCTCCTGAGGTCCCTTCCAACCCTGATATTCTATGATTCTATGAAATAAAAAAAAGTCTCATTGAATTACATTGCATGAAGGCAAACAGCTAAATATTGACAAATTTGTAAGTGCTTGTATACAAATGCTAGAAGTCCAAATACAAAGATGGATGAACTGAAGTGTCTGGTATTAAATGAGGATATTGATATAATAGGCATCACAGAAAGTTGGTGGAATGATGATAATCAATGGGATGTGGTTAATACCACAGTACAAAATATGTAGGAATGACCAAGTAGGTTGTGCGGGTGGGGGAGTGACACTATATGTGAAAGAAAGCATAGAGTCAAATATAGTAAAAATCTTAAATGAATCAAACTGTACCATAGAATCGCTATGGACAAAAATTCCCTGCTTGAATAATAAGAGTATAGCAATAGGAATATACTGCCAACACCTGATGGATGGTGACAGTGCGTGTGAAATGCTCAGGGGGATTAGAAAGGTTACAAAAACAGAAAACCCAGTAATAATAGGGGATTTCATCTATCCCCATATTGACTGGGAACATGTCACCTCAGGATGGGACGCATGGATAAAATGTATAGACACCATCAATGACTGCTTCTTGGAGCAGCTAGTCCTAGATCCCACAAGGGAAGAGGCAATTCTTGATTTAGTCCTAAGTGGCGCACAGGATCTGGTCCAAGAGGTGAACATGCTCAGTAATAGTGACCATAATATAATTATATTTAACTTCCTTGGGGGGTGGGATACCAAAGAAACCCACCGCAGTAACATTTAACTTTGAAAATGGGAATGACACAAACATGAGGAGACTAGTTAAACAGAAATTAAAAGGAAAAGTCACAAGGGTGAAATGCCTGCAAGCTACATGGAGACTAAAAACACCATAATAGAGGCTCAAACTAAATGTAGACCCCCAAATAATAATGATAAAAACAAAAACACCGTGAGGACAAAAAAGTGCCACCATGGCCAAACAGAGTAGAAGAGGCAGTTAAGAGGCAAAAAGGCATCCTTTAGAGGTTGGAAGTCAAATCCTACTGGAGAAAATGGCATAAACTCAGGTAAGTCACATGTAAAAGCACAAATAGGTAGTGTAAAAAAGAATTTGAAGACCAACTAGCAAAAGATACAAAAACTAACAGCAAAAAAATAAAAATTTGAAGTACATCAGAAGCATGGAGCTCGCCCAACAATCACTGGGGGCCACTGGACAACTGAGGTGCTAAAGGAGCACTCAAGGAAGAAAAGGCTGTTACAGAAAAGCTCAATGAATTCTTTGTCTCATAAAAATGGCCATTCTGGGTCCATCTAGCCCAGTATCTTTTGCCCTGCTTTTGCATCACTAATTCTATCCCTGCTCCTCGTTTAAAATAGCAGCTTTCAAGGCCATCTGCTAATACAGTTGGTGGGCAAAAAAATACTATCCAATTATTAACTTTATATACACACAGAGATATGAAACAATACCTCCTCCCACCCCACTCCTCTGGTAATAGCTTATCTAGTGATCAACAGGTGCCATTTCCAGAACAACCTGTTTTTCTAAATCCCTGATCATACACAGGAAGTTTTGTGTGTATTAGCTCTGCAGTTTCAGACTGAGAGAGGCTCAGCTCAAATAATGGTCGTGCCAAAGCTCTTTTCTTTTCAGTGGTGGGCAAACTACAGCCTGCGGGCCACATCCGGCCCGTAGGATCGTCCTGCCAGGCCCCTGAGCTCCTGGCCCCCTTCCCACGCAGCTACGCCACCATGCGGGCAGGGGTTGCGAGCTCCTGCCGCTCTGAGCAGCATGGTAAGGGGGCGGCGGTGGTACATGTGCAGCGGTGGGAAGGTTGGGTAGGGGGTCCCGGGGGGCAGTCAGGGGACAGGGAGCACGGGATGGTTGGATGGGGCGGTCAGGGGTTGGAGAACAGGGGATTAGATAGGGCATGGGAGTCCCGGAGGGCCTGTCAGGGGGTGGGGGTGTGGATAGGTCGAGGCAGTCAGGGGACGGGGAGCGGGGGGTGGGGTTGGATAGGGGGTGGGATCCTGGGGAGTATGGTTTGGGGCAGGGGGTCCCAGGAGGGGGCAGTCAGGGGACAAGGAGCGGGGGGGTTGGATGGGTTGGGGGTTCTGAGGGGGACAGTCGGGGCAGGAGGTGGGAGGGAGCGAATATGGAGCAGGGGCCAGGCTGTTTGGGGGGCCACAGCCTTCCCTATCTGGCCCTCCATACAGTTTTGCACCTCGATGTGGCCCTTGGGCCAAAAAGTTTGCCCACCCCGTGCTAATACATGTGGCTTTTGAAGCACTTTGAAAAACAGCCTGAAACAAAGCCTGATACAACCCTTAACTATGGTGTGGCTGGGTGACACCCCTATGCAAGGTACCTGCCCCCATCCA